CAGCCTCCCTTCGTACAGATGAGCCAGTCTTGTGCTTTTCTGCACCATTTTGGCTGGAAGGGTGGAAGGTGACCTAATCCAAACCTGACTTGCAAAAAAAAAAAAAAAGGAAGAAGGCAGGGTGGGACACTGAAGTCGGACTGGGCAGCACGGGCTGGGTGCCAAGTTCCCTTCTGCATCACCAAACGAGCCGGGAACGCTCCTGGCTTACTTGTCTTTGCTGAGTGAATAATTTGGATTTATGCTGGCCTCGCTCTTTAAATGTTTTCTGAACGTTTTCACTCCAAAGCAAAAGGAGACGCTGAAAATGGGTGAAGACGCCTTTGGGTTTTCTTACCCTGAAGCACTGAGGTCTGGGGGAGCTGTGGGGAAGGGCACAGAGCGTCCTGCCACGCGTGGGGCACCCGGGGGAGGGCTGGAAAAGCCCCGATGCTGCTGACAGAGAGCTGCGCACTGCGCCCAGCGCCTGTCCTGCTCAATCCTGAGAACCCCCCGTTCCGGGGCTGACCCGAGACAGGCGGTCTTACCAAACATCTCAGCCTGGTTCTTCTGTAAGAGGCCCAAATTATTCACAGTCCGAGACGTAACAAATCCAAGGGTTACCAATTCAATTTGAACCCTCGCTACTCTCGTTACCCGGTGCGAGCTTTAACTTCTCTTTTTTACCGCCAGCAGAGGATTGTACAACAGGAAGAAGTGACTCAACTTGAGCAGCGCCTGGTGATGGGCAAAACGAAACATTCTGCTTCTGAAAGCAGCTACTGAGGCGCCGTAAGATAAGCAAGAACCTCAGGTTCTTGCAAGTCCTTTGCTTCGTCTCACTAAGACACTACTATATAAATAGGTAATACACTAAAAGGAGGACGGAGGAAAAATCGGACAGGAAAAGTTTCCCTGGCCTCGCAGCTGGTTCCCACAAGGATAAACACGCGCGTCATTCAGGGGCCAATTTGTCCCATCTAGTTGAAATTTTTTTTGCCATGTACAGGTCTGGGCCAAATGATTCCCGTGCCTCGTGCGTGTGTATCATCAAGGAAACGAATTGCTCTTTGCTGTCACAGCTGCCATCGGGACAGCTTCAGGGTGTCCCTTCCCGAGGAGCCCTGAGCTCCTGATTGCCCACGTGCGAAATCCCTCGATATCTGTATCCATTTTCCTGTACTAGAAGGAAAATGGAGCCCCTGGCAGGTTTGCGGAGGCTCCCGTAAATATCCATTAAAATAATTCATCTTTCAGGTCCCGCTCGGAGCCTTGGCTGGATCAGGGAGCGGAGCACCCGCCGTGGTGCTGGGACGTGGGACCGCAGGCTTGGAGAGATTCGGGCTCAGCCCGTTGTCTGGACAACCTGCTGACAGCTGGAAGGCTGATCTAGAAACCGACTCTTCTGGAGATTAAAACCCATCTGTGTCTTGAAGGACAGAGTATCCTTATCCTTCTTATCTTGGACAATTCCAGCAGAAACCCTTTCCAGCGTCGGCACGAGAGCTGCACCCCCGAGGAGAACACCCTGTCCGGGCAGCGGCGCGGGCTGGCTGCCCTGCGGAGTCCTGCCCCCCCTTGGGTGGACAAAACTCCCCCCATCCCCATCACGGGCCGTCAGGGAAGCTCACGGCTCCTCGCTGCCTTTTGCCGCCGTGACGGGGAGGACGCGCTCCCCCAGCCGTAGGTGCGCGGAGCGCCGAGGATATTTTTAGCAGGAGAAGCTCTTGTTCTGCCCTTCAGCAGAAGCGTCGCTTCCCTTTCAGCTGCAGTTACTGCAAAATGAGGTAAATCTAAACCCCTGGCTCGGCGTGGCACCCTCGCTAACACTCAGCGCCACAAGTCTGTTCCTTGCTACCACCTTCCCCTTCTCTGCGCTCAGCCTTGCACTTTGCAGCACAACATCTGAATTTTTTCCACTGGGGAAAAAAAATAATCTCCCGTTTCTGCATAAAAGGGCTGATGGAAAGTCTGTGGAAAATCCCCGACTCGCTGTTCGAAGCAAATTGGGCCAAATAAGTACGAGAACTCTCAAATTGTCACGCACCACTCCTGCACAAAGTCCTCCCTCTGGAACCACGTCACCCCTCCGCGAGGCTCCGCGGACACTGCCCCCACTGCCCGGATCAGCCCCTCTCTCTGATGAGAAATAACAAATTTTGGAATAAAAATAATCCAAGTTCCTTGATAACGGTTTTGCAAAACCAAGACCGCTTCCCATCCTGTCACCCTGATTTCTCCTCTTCCTACTTCAGTGGAACAAAGGCCCTGGCAAAAATTATATTCACAAATCAGCTCGGGTTTTTTGAGGAGGTCGGAACTGCTACAAGCAGGGCGATCGCCCACATCTGACAGGAAATACAGCAAGGTCAGGCATCCTAAACAGCATCGTATTAACGAGGGGATTAATTAAACATGCCAGGGCACGGGGAGGGGGGAGCGGGGAGGAGAATTTCCACTTCGTACATCAACTCATTAGAAAAAGAAAGCGTGCACAGGGCAAACCTTGAGACGCCCGCCAGCAGAAACCGAGCACAGGTGCGTTAGTCTGCCAAATAAAAACGAGGTGCTCGCCAGCTTTAGAGGAAAATGTTAGTAAAACAGACTTGTCTTGATAGCTGGCAGCCCCTTGCGGTTCTTAGTTAACAAACTTCACTTTTTACGTAAGAAAACTACCACTATATTAAACTTCTGGTGGTTTGTTTCTTCAATATTAAGAATAAGGAAGTGTTAGCCGTGGTAAGAAGAATTTAAACTGCCAGTGAAGCACAGCAGATGCTTCCAGGCCTGGAAGGCAGTAAAAGGACCTCCCAGTTAGCGACCCAAGGATGAATCTAGGATGTGACTGGCTAAAAACCAAGTCTGAACAAAATAATTTACACCAGCCTTCCCGGTTTTGCCAAAGAGCCGTCAAATAAACCTCCTTAAGAGACGAGGTTTTGTTGATAAAAGGCACACGGAGTTCAAGGGGGCATTTGACTCTTCCAGTGACATCACGATCTGGATGGTACCCCTGGTCGCACGTTAAAAACAGTTCCACTGACAAACCTAAAAATACCTCTTAAATCGATGTATTTGTTGTTTTTAGTGGGATCTCAGAAACAGATTCCAGCCCTTCGGGGGGTTTATTAAAGGATCAGGTTTGTGTCATCCTCTCTCCTGCTGAAGTGCTGGATGAGACCAAGAGCGGAGGCCAACAGCTACAGCACAGGGATGTTTATTAGTCTTTAAGTGCCCTCAGAAATGGGTTTGCTGCCACGGCGGCGCAGAGCTGAGCATCCACAAATCAGGTGCGGCTATTTATCGCCAGGCTGGATTGTCTCTGCCCTGAAAAGCAGAGCTGGATGCAAGGGGTAGTTGCCTAACACAAGCCTCACGCGCAATGCCACGGAAAGAGACCCCCGGGCACGGCCAAAAGGGGAACAGGGAGCAGAAAGAGGCTCCAGCGACGCTGGACGAGGAGCACGTTGGGTGTCGGTGCTGACAGGGGGTTGTGCAGACGTTGCTGAAGGCACAGAAACACTCTGTGGGGCAAAGGGGGGGCAGAAAACTCACCTCGAGCTCAGTTTATTCAGCTCGTCAAAGACACGGCGCCATCCTTGAGCTAGCCCCAAGTGTGACGGTGAGCTACAGAATCTGTTACCTACTGTTTTGTTGGGTTCCATGACAAAGCCATGGCAAGACCCAGCTGCTGAAAGTCAAGCTGAAATAAAAGTTTCTAGCTACAGGGATAACGACCCGTTTGAATGTGACAGCAGGGAAAGGATTCATGTTACTTTCCTTTTTTTTTTTTTTTTTTTTTTTTTTTTTTTTTTTTCCCCTCTCTCTGAAGCACCAGGGACCGGCCCCTGTGGGACGTGGGGTTCTGGCAGGAGGGGATTTGTGCTCTTGGGTGGCACGGAGACCTCTCCGATGCTCGATTGGGAAGTGTTACTCGGATTCAAACCTTCTTAATTAAGGACTTAGAGCAAATTTTTATCAGAGGGACTTGAGCAAACGATGGGCAAGTACCAGCATTATGTCCTTCCGATCTCTTAAGAGAAAATGCTGCACATTCCACCTCCTGAAAAAGGGCGGGTTGCATCCTTTCCTCTTACAAAAGTCAATGCCCGGTACAAATGCATCACAATTTCATCTGGGAGAGAAAGACTTAACTGAGCAGGTGGGATCTTCACGGCAGCCCCAGTAAGAGGAACTTAGGGCTGTTTTCTAGCACCCGTATTTCCGAGGTGGCTCAGGCTGATCTGCTTCGCACGTCACACCAAGCCCCAAAAGCTTTACAGTACAAACAGGATAAAAACTCGTTTCAAACACCAATCACATACCACTTGGTTCTGGCTCTCCCATGGCTGAATCTTCAGTATTTTGGTCAGAAAGTGGCAGAATCTCAAATCACAGCCGAATTGAGTGAAAACACGACTTCTTGATCAGATCAGACGTGAAGAAATTATCCAGGGGCCCATGGGAGCTGCGTGTGAGTTCAGCCGACCTGCCCGGCATCGCTGGCAGAAGTGCCTGGCGGCGAGCGCGGCCGCTGTACCCGAATCTGCTTCCTGCAGACACGCTTCCGCGCAGGGAAACCACGCAGCCTGCGTTTGTTTGATGGGGCAATTTGCATAATTCAGATGTGTCTGGGTTAAATAAGCCCAAGGACCGTTTCTGAATCCTCCTGGCCTTCAGTGCTTGCGGCAGCCACAGTTGTTCTACACCGGAGAGCACATTCTGCCTCCCGAGAAACGCAACAGACCGAACGGACGGCCGAGAAACCGCCCTGTGGTGAGGGGAAAGGGCTGTTAGGTTGAAAGAGGGGACAGGAGAAGGGCAAGGATGAGTCCCTGGGGCAGGGGGGGGCCAGCAGTGGCCCTCTGCCTGAGCCCCCAGCCCTCTGCTCTCTTCCCCAGTGCGTGTGTTCTCGGCGTTCGCAGCCCCGCTCGGCCTCTGCTCAGCAAAACCGAAATCTAAACTTTCAAAACCTGATTTTTTTTTTTTTTTAGTTATTTGATAAGCTTTTGCTTGCGTCAAAATATTTTTCAGCCTGGGAGCGCTCTCCGGATGGTGGGCCGGGGTGTAAAGCTTTAAATCCCAACGACCCCCCCGTGCTGGACAATTCACTCCCAAGCGACTGAGTTCCTGGCTGCTAGCGTTGCAGCCTTCAAAATTTGGGGTGAATTTTTGCCTTCGGTTTAGGCATACTGGTGGTGATTTGGTGACGAAACTCTGCTGTGGGAACTAGAAAGCATTTATTCAAAGATTATAGACCAAAGTGAGCAGGAACTGAACTTTTTTTTTTTCCTTCTGCAAATATTAAAGAAGCCGACAGCAAAAATGTGACAGTCAACAAACAAACATCCTCAGCAGCAAAGCTATTAATTTTTCTTCACTAAATAATGAATAATTTAAAAAATCTATGCTCTCTCATGCAATTAAAAAATGTGTTTGTGTCCCTGGACTCCCAAAAAACCCACAGATTCTCTTTCCTCAGCACCTGCTGGAGACTCAAGTAATACCGCTACGTTTTTTCTGCAGAATTTCTGCCTGTGGTTGTGCCACAAACCCCGTGGCAAAGCTCCGGGCTCTTCTGCGGGCAGCCAGACACAGGCCAGAGTTAAATCAGCTGAGCTTTCTATCGTTAACACTTGTTTAATTAAAAAATAAAAAAAATTCTAAACCCTCAGCGTTACCGCTTCAGTGTCGAACGTTTCAGGCTCAAGCGAACGTGGCGCGTGTGAGAGTTTCTGCTCCGGCTCGGGAGGGAACGGTTGATTTTTAGAAAGGAGCAGGAGACTCGGGATGAAAAACCCCACGGCAAAGTGCTGCTGGGATCAGATCTTCCCCAGTCTGTGTCTCGTTTTTTTTTATAATCAAGTGGTATAATTCCAGGTATGTTTAGTGCCAGTGTAATTACCATGCCCTGCTTGCAAAGGGTTTTATTTCCAGAGAAGCGCTATAAAAAGTGGTTTTCTAGTGTAAAGGCATTTATAACCAAAAGGATTGCGACATAGTATAGCAACACCCTCCAATTAATTAAAAAAAAAAAAAAGCTAATAAAACCTAACATAGAACAAGGGGTGGGGCTCCTTATTTACCAGAAGCGTAACTCAGGGTCCCAATTCCCACTCTCCAGCAGTTTCCTCAACTTTCTTGGGGAATGACTATGTTTTGGTTGGTTTTGGGGTTTTGGGTTTGTTTTTTTTTTTTTTTGGTAAAAGCCGAGATGGTAAAACCCTAAACTTTGTTTTCAAGATCAGGAGCTCACAAAGGGGAAGTACGGGAATTAATGAGAAACAGCCCATCATCCAAGGTGACGCAGAGCGGTAACGAGGTTCTTCCAAAGAGAGGAGCGGGGAGCAGGGCTGCTCCCCTGACCCGGAGCTCCTCCAGCACAACCTGCAAACTCCTCCTGCATTTCTAACAGGTGATTTTTTTTTTTTTTTTTTTTAAATGACTATTTTAGAACAAGCACAATGGCAAGTTACTGCAGACAATACACAGGAGCAGCCCCCTACGAGGTCTCGTTAAACTTCCCTTTACGTCACCACTGCTGTTTTACAAGGCAAATATCTTTCCACATCGGTAAGTCTTTTGAAGGCAGGGGAGGAAAGAAACTGGGAGTGATAGCAGCGGTGTGGTTGGGGCACTTTCCTTCCTTCCAGCCCTTGCCGAGAGCCTCGGGCCAGCCCTGGCTCTGCTCGTACACCCAATATCGGGACGGGACATTCAGCCCTTCCTCTCGAAGCCCATCAGACCCCCAGAACAAAGGCCAGGAACCACTCTGCCTTTCCTCTGGAGAGGCTGAGACTAGCTTTCAGGTGAGGATTTTCCACTAGATTTAAGGGTATCTGAGCTCCCAAGAAACCAACGTGCAAAACAAGGAGAGAAAAAACATTTAACCACCACCCAACCGAGGTCAGCGCGGCGCAGGGCACCGCCTCAACCTCCAACACCCCGTGGGTCACTTGAGTTCTACCTCCCTGCCACGCACGGGCTAGCCAACACCTAAAAACATTTAGCAGAGGGTTACACAAGAATTAAGCACTGACAGACGTCCTGGCACGTGTCTGCTGGCTCCGACAGACAGAACCAAGCCAAGAACAGCTCCCCGGAGCCGCGCGTTTCCCTTCTTTGGTTTTGCCATCCGAACGTGTGTCTTTACGAGTGGAAAACACACAGCAAGGTGCAGTTTGCCAGCATGATGCCAACCTAAATAGAAAACCTCTCACGTCTGAGCCTTTATCTTGCTCTCATGCATTTTAAAAGCACCATCTTCCCTAACGCTGGGAGCTGATCACTGACTTCTGCTCAGCTCCGGTAGCGACGGGCGCTTTCCCTGCACGTGGACACCCGTATGTGTCTGTGCTGAGCCTGGCTGAAAGCTTTTCTGCCCCCACTGAGCAGAGGGCAATAACTACAGCGCTCGTTACGTTCTCTAAAGTTAGGGATTTACCATTGATATTGGCGACAAGGGTCGCTACCGCAGGCTGGATGGCATCCCCAGTCAAAGCAGGGTAGGTGTTCAGGAAGGAGGAGATGGCTTGCAGTAAATCTGCCAGCTTGGCTTCAGCAGAAGCTGAAATAACTTCTCCTAAAATTAAGAAGGAGAAAAAAATTACCTTTTTTTTTTTTTTTTCATGCATAAACTCTTCCTCCTCACCTTTCCCACGATGAACTCTCTTCAACACAGCCGCACAGGTACCCGGCTGTTCCTAAATACTCATGTTCTGCACAAAACAGAAAATAACAAATGCTGAAGACGGAAAGCAAGCAACAACCCCCTCAAGCAGTGATGGGATGGACGTGGAAATTCCCAGTCCTTAGTATCCAGGGCCCTTGACGAGGCTCCCTGCTGCCTTTTGTCCAGGTTTTACTCCATGAGCCCAAGTGATGAACGTCATAATTCCAGCTGCCGCAGCATCGTGTATCTTTGTGTCTTTACACCCAAAACCCAACCTCCGAGAGCAAGACGCTGTCCCACGCTGAGTGCTCGGAAAGATGCTCAGTGAAAGAACCACCTCGGGTAGATCTAATTTCCGTGAGCAGCCGGCATTGGTTGGGGGCTGTTAAGAGCAAGTGTCTTGCAAAGCGAAGGGCACCGCTGCAGTTTGCTCCGGAAGCGTGGCCGACCCAACCCAAGGCAGTCGCCGTCACCTGGAGCTACAGCTTGAGGCCGTGGGAGGGAGACTGGGATCGCAGGGAACTCCGGATGCCTTGGTGGAGAGGGTGGCACTCCTCCAGGAGCTTTCTTGTTCCAGCAAGTAGCTGAAGGGATTTTGTTAACGCTGCCGCGCTGGACAGGGTTTGTAGAGCAGCACCGAGCCTGTGACAACCGTTTTCTTAATTCTCAGGTCTATTGACTTGGGCTCCAGCCTGGAGAGCGTCCTGCGAGTACAGAGATTCTCCTGGGAAAAAGGAGGAGAAAGGGAAAGCGCCGGCGCCCGGGAGGCGCAGCACTTGTGGAGCCCGTTGCCAGGCTGTGACACACGCCTGGGCTCCCACTGCCAGCTCGAGCCTCCTCGCCACGTTTGGGCTCCATCCCGGTGACGAATCGTGGTTCCCTCAGCGGGGATGGGGCGTGCGCCCTTTCCTCGAGCCACTTTCACACACTTGTGAGTAATTGCAGGTGCTGTCACTACCACCTGAAGTGCTTTCGCATCGCATTTGGAGGAAACCTCTGCGTTTAGATGGTTAAGCGCTTTGAAACTTTATCTATTGATGCAATTCATTATAGGAAAAGACGTTTACATAATTAAATATCTGCGCAGAGACAAGCCACCCTAAATGTCTGAGAGCCATCTAAATTCATTGCTTTAAATAAATAATGAAGCAAGAACGAGACAGGATTGCTTTTGCTGAACGCAATCTGCTTGACTTGTAAGCAAATAAGCGGACTGAAAAATATTTACCTTGTCGGAAGAGCTCGCGGAAGCGCTGAAATTTCCTGTCGATGTTCCTCAGGTGGGTGGTGACACGGAGCACCTCGCTGGCCGTCAGGTCCACGCGCCCGGTGCCATCCCCAGGGCCAGGGATCGAAGCCCAGGCGGTGGCCAAGCAGCCGGCCTCGGGCTCGTGGCTGGCTCTGCCTGGCGACGGGCCGGCGCGGTCCCGGGGGGCTCCCGGCCCGTTCATGGCGAGGTGGAGCACCCGTTGCTGAGCCTCCCCCGGCCCGGTGGGTCAGCTTTTTTCTCAGGCTATGTTTTTGGGTGCGCACCCCCAAAGTCCTGCAGGCCGTGAGCACGGCTCCCCCGCAGAGACAGGAGGAGAAGCAGCATTCTGCAAAAAGACACTGGAGACGCAAGACAAAACGCTCAAAACCAAAAAAAAACAACCCCCCAAAAAAAGGAGGGTCAGGATGAATTCTTATGCTCTCAGCACTTATTCATTTTCTAATTCAGTAAAGTTGCAACCAGTGTTTTCTGAGAAACGGCCAAAGCAGGTTTTAATTATCAAGTTTCTTCACACGCTTTCCAGCAAACGGAACCCCAAGTTTAGGAAACTGTTTCTTAGCAAGGCTTGGATATCAAAACCAAGCCCCGAATATCCATATGCAATAGCGCTGCGTTGCCGGATCGGCCTCTCTTATTTACCATAACATTATCTGCAAGTAAAAATGTTGGTTTGGGCGAGCTGTAGAGGATATCTTCCATCTCCTTCATCGTCCTTCCTCAGCTAAAACACAGACGAGGAAAAAGCCATCACTTCTCGTGAGAAATCTCTCGGTTTATCCAAAGTACCGCGGCATCTTGGTATTTGCTGGTGAAACCAGAAAATCGAGCCGTTGCCGGTGTCCCGGTGCAGTCGGGCTCCGGATCTCGGCTGGGCCACCCCGTGGTGCCTCCACCGCGGGAAGCGACGACGCTACGTGAGTCTGCGTGGGCTGAGTCTGCAACCTCAGACAGGTGTGTGGATTTTCCACATTCCTCTTGGGAGTTGTGAAATTACTCACTTCCCAGGCTATCTCGGGGATCAGACCCATCCTCCTACCCGGCTCCCATTAACTCTCTGCTGTCTGAAGCTTGTGGAGCCTCTTTCTGATTCCACGTGCGTCAGTAAATTTTATTTTTACAGAGCAGCAAGGCCCTTTGTAAGGGGATCGCGTGACGTAAAAGGTAAAGCAAGAAGGATGCAGCTGTAAGGTAGCATGCTTGAAAAAGTAACTATATCAGAAAATCGATTATTTGCACTAAAGGGCGCTTAGATACTGCCCTAAGCATTCAAATCCCTTTGTTCTGCGCCCTATAAAAATAAATAATAAGCCCCACATATGAAAGCAGAGCTGAACCTCTTTTAAGAGCGCCGTGCAGTGCCTCTGTCGGGAGGGTTTTCATCTCCGATGGAACTCGAGGTGGAGGAATCATGTTCGTGGCTGCTCTGTAGGGTTCCTCTGCTCCCCAGAGCCAGGGTGAAGCGGCAACACGGCGCTCGCTGCGGAGCTCCTGCCGGCGCTGCCTCCCCTCCTTCGCCCATCTGCAGATTCCTGCCTATGCTGCCACTTGGTGATTTTGCTTTCTTGGCTTCCCACGCGGTGTGAAGCTTTCTCAGAAGAACAAGAGTGGCTCCATCTCCTGCTTCTGTCTACAGCACACCCATTAGCATTATGGCTTCTTTTACCAGGGGGAAAAATAACCCCGAAAGTCAAGGAGAGGAACTAAGGCAGTTGATTTTCTTTATGGCGATGATGATGTTGGCCCAGCAGCACTTTCCCGTGCTGGCAGATTCACTTTTCACTATCACTCAGTCCCTTCCGTGGCCTCTTGTTCTTCCACACAACTATCGAGAAAAGGGCAACTTTCAGTTTTGAACAGAGGAAAAGACAACGGTTTAAAAAAAAAATAAAAATGGGTGGGGCTGGTAAAAGTCCACGTTTGCTACTATTGACCTTTACATAAATTCAGGTGGAGAGTGTCCTTTTATCGACATCAAAGTTCCACGGGGACGGGAAGAAGCACCTGGCTGCCAGTTAATCACGGTGAGACGTTGCCCTTCGCCTCCCTCCCACTGCTCCAGGTTCCTAATTTGTGATTTAACAAAACTCCTTTTCTAAATGCAGGTGTACTCACCGCTGGCCACAGCCCGAAGTGTTTCGGCAGCGAGCACCAGCCAGCCCAGTGTCACTCCTCCAGCAGGTACCTCACCTGAAAGCACTTTTGGGGTTTTATTTGTGCCTTTTCCCGCCGTGTCCGCGCACCACAGAGCAGCCCGAAGGCAGTGCCCTTCCTGTCCTGCCTGAAGCGGAGTCTCTCCCAACTGTTTATTTTGTAGGACTTCTCCTCCTGCCCTGTCAAACTTGCTGGGTGAAGAGAGGGAGGATTAAGTGAGAAAACAAGTTGAACGAGCCGACCTTGCATGGCCTCTCTGTCTTCCGCATGCACTTTCCTTCCCAGATCCTTCACGGAGCTTTTGGAAATCCTCCGCTCACCCCGCAGTGATCTGGTGGAGAACAGGACACCAGAAATGAGCAAATTAACAGTCCTTTCCCCCCCTTTCTCCTGCTTTTCAGACCCCTTGATTGCAGAAAGCGGAGGATGCCCTGCAGGCTCCGTAAATAAGATTTTCCGCTACAGAGCGTGTTCCCCCTCAGCCGCTCCCTACAAATCTGTTGAATTTGGAAGGATGAAGCAGAGGGATGTTTCCGAGGCGCTGCCCTGGCACGTTTCCCATCCGCTGCAAGCCGCGGGAGGTTTAGGACAGGCAGATTTTCCACTCGGGATGGGTCTCGGCTTCCTGGCAGCAGCGCTGGGCACTCGGCAGCAGCAGATGGCAACCACGATTAGCAGATAAAACCAGGCGGCTTGCACGGGGAGGCAGCTGCTGCGCGTTGTAATTCCAGTCAGAGAGCAACCTGCTCCTCGGCAGGATTTGTCCCAAATGTAAATTTTCAGCAGTGTAATGTGAGCAGCAACGTGGGACATTAACACATGGGGGCCTGTCTCCTAAAAAAAAAAAAAAATCCCTCCGTGGGTTTCTCATAGGGATTGTGTTCCTGTCCACGGCTCCCCCGTAGCAACGCTTGGGTGTCCCGTGGGGTTTTTTTTTAATGCAAATCCCATTTTTAAAACTGTTTAGCGAGTCATTCGCTGACTGCTGGTCTCTAGCAGTTCCTTTTCTCCTCACTTTTTTGGTAAATAAATGACAAAGATGTCCCTTTTCCTACGCTAGGTCCTAGGGTGATGAAAAGGAAATGTAATTCAGTCGGGGTGGAATAGCCTTACTACACTAATCGATTTTTCAGATGTGAAAAGCCGTGTGTGGGAGTAGCACGTGTTTGCCTTAAAATAATTCACCTTTTGGAAAACTAATGTCATTTTAGTGGAATTCTACAATGGATGTGGCTGCTCCGGAGGTGTCGGGGAGGGCCAGTGGCCTGAGGGATGGCTCCGGCCGAGTCAGCCGGCACAGCCGCAGCCTCCCGAGCCCTTAAGAATCTCCTTCATCTTCCTCTCTCCTTTCCTCGTTCTTCTCCTCTGTTTTCTTGTCCAGCTTGTACTTGAGGCGGCGGATGGGGTCGGTGATGCTTCTCCTGGTCCAGTCTTCAAAATCCTCCGCCAAGAGGAAATTTCGATCTATCAGCTCAGCAGCCTCCTGCCAGTTTTGGAAGCAGGCGGGGCCCAGGCGTTGGATCTCCTCCACGGCATTTCTGGCGATGACCTCCCCGTTGGGCTTCAGCACCACCACGGCCGGCACCTCGGACACGCCGAAGCGCAGCTCCAGCTCCCTGCAAGGCAAAGGGGGGGGGAAAACCTCAAATCGGGAAAGGTGCAGCGGGCCTCACCGCTCATCGGCCTCACTACTCCTCATCCTCACCAGCCGGTGGGATTCCTGCGCCTGTGCTAATATGGTTACACAGAGCCTAATTGCTCGTTTGTCTGTCACTGCTAATTAGAGCCTGACATGGATCCCTGTGGGGCAGGGAAAAAGGGGAAGGGGATTCAACCATCGGGGTACGGGAGGTGCAGGATGGCTGCCGGGACCTCTTTTTACACAGACAGTTTTAAACAGCAGCAGGATGTTTGAAATTTTAACCTGCTCCCTCAAAAGGAGAGGGGAAGAATTCTCGGGTATTAATTGCAGGTCGTAATTCCCGGGTATTAATTGCAGGTCGTTCTGTCGCTAATGAGGTTACAGTAAATGCGCAAGGGCTTCCAATCCGTCTTTCAGGCTGCGTGTTCCGCCTGGAGGTCTGGCTGAGACGTCTTTAAGAGTTATAAATAGCGCGTTATAAAATCGGAAAGACAAAGATATCAGCAAAAAGCGAGGTGGAAGGAAGAAGAAATATTTTTGCTTTATAGAGCCGGTGCAGCCAAAGAGCTTTATCTTTTTTTTTTTTTTTTTTTTTTTTTTTTTTTT